AGTATTTTGAGCTGAAACTTCACAGACACATTCTGGTGACACCAGAGACTTATATTACATATTGCAAAAAGGGGCATAATATGTCTCCTTTAAAGTGTGTGTAACGTGTCGCTCACCCCCTGATCCTGTGCTGGGCTGCGACGGGGCGGTGCTGGATGGTAAAGAGAGGCCTGTGGACAAAGCAGGAGTGCCTACCGCAGGAGCCACGGGGTCAGCACCTCCCACACTGCCCTCGCTCTCCGCAGGAATATCCTACAACACACACACACACACACACACACACACACACACAACCCTCAGAAGACGCATCCACAAAACATCTCTGCAGTAGAGTTCTTTTTGTCAGCTATTTTCAATTATAGTCTTAATGCCGTGTTAAATGTCCTTGTTAGTTTTTAATCATATTTAATAGGGCTGGGTAAAAAATATCGATATCTCGATATTAATCGATTCTCATTTTTACGGAACGATATCGATTCTTAAATCCCAAGAATCGATTAGTCTAGCCTGTTTTCAGTTAATGTACGGAAAATTGAAGGGCACTTCCCATCCAATATATCGCAATAAGCATTGTGCTTTGGTACTTTTAATATGAAACAAAGTCTCAGATTTCAAATTCTGTCCATTGTATTGCAGTATTCAAACAATAAATGCCGTTTTGGAGCTGTTTAATGTGAACCGACAGATCGCACGTGAACTGATCATCTCCTCCACATTAAAACCAGTTTCAGCACAAAATAAACATGACTAAACATCCGAAGGTAAGTTAAAAGAAATACACAACTTTACAATCCGTATCCAGTCTCGTGTAATCGCTCAATCAGTGTTTCAGCCACGCAAAGACGTTAATATAACAGCTTGTAAACAATGTCACGTAACGTCACATTTACCTCAGAAATACATAACGTTATTCAGTGACCATAAACTCATTAGTCAGATAAAAAAATAAACTGTAGAGAGAGGCATTTTACTAAATATATGCACCATATAACACATTCATTATAATTTTTCTGCTCTTCAATGTTTAATTTATGTTTGAATAAATCCATCAAGTTTTTATGACAGCCACCATTTAAATGTTTATATTTAAAAAAAACTAATTGAAGAAGAAAAATATTATTATGTAACTAACTTTATTATTGTAAAAACGTCATTAATTTTAACCTTCTATATTATAGTAATGTAGTACCAACTGACTCTCATGTACAGCTGCACGATATTGGAAAAAACTCACATTGCGATATTTTATTTTTCTGCAATATATTTTGCGATATGAAAAAAAATCACCACATGACTTTAATAGTTTATTTGGAAAAAAAAAATGATTGGGGTGATTTTGTAGGCGAGTAAATCAGCATAGAAAACAAACAAATTACAAGCATAGATAAATATAACAGAACAAAGATACAAATGAAATAAGCAGTGCTTTATATTTATATCCCAAATAAACAACATTGAATCGAATCGGTAATCGAATCGAAACGCAAGCCTGTGAATGAGAATCGAAACGTGAAATTTGTGTCAAAACCCAGCCCTAATATTTAGTCAATCTTATCCTATTTTATTTTAGTATTAGTATTAAGTTTTAGTCGACTAAATGTCTCAAAGAAAATATAAAGTATTTTAGTCTAGTTTTAGTCAATGAAATCTTCATCTCATTTTCATCATGCTGTATAATGGTTAAACTGACAAAAAAAAAAAAAATTATAATCGTAATGATTGTTGTTATTTGAATAATTTACTTTTGCATTTCAGGTAATGCACTTTCACCAGTAAGCACAAAGCAATAGAATGTCGACTCAAACACATGGTTTATTTTACCTCATCTAGTGTACTGATTTTAGTATAGGCTATTTATTATATAAATTAATTAATTAAAGAAAAACGCAAGCAACAATTGGGTGTTTTTTTTTTACTGTGTATTCAAACAGAAACTCCAGAAGTTTGGATTTTTTTTCTTTAGAAAGTTGTATTTGGGTGTTTTACACTTCCAAATAAAATTGTCAACATATAACATTCCCCAAGCAACTTATTGCCATTTACTACAATATTATTATAGACGCTTTTCAGTGAAAAACAGGTTTATTTAATTTACTGACAACATAAAACATTTAGTTGAGTAAAGTAAATGGAAAGAGTGTTATATAATAGACAAAACACAGAAGCAAAAGTGACTTTTTTTTCAGAGAAATATATTTTCAATCTGAGTATGAACAACAAACGCAAATAGTGTAGCAAGTAATGACAACAGTTGTGCAAATTGTCTCGTGAAACAAAAATACAAACAGTGCAAATGATTCACAAACTACACACAAAATGAGAGAGAAATATGCAGAGTGCAACAGAACAAAAAGTGCAGATGATCTTTACAAACTGTATAATAATTATTTACATAATATAACCACCAAATGGATCGATCCGTTGGCTGTATTCCGCGTCGGAATCGATTCGACCGGGACTTCGCCTAGCGACGCGAAAACATAAATTCCGGTGCTTTAACTGATATGTACCGCTGTTTCATCCTTGTTTTTGGTTTGTGTTATGTCAAAGTGCTCTGTTGTGTATTTTTCTGTGCTTTGTCAGAGAGTGTTCTCATGCAAATGTGTTATTTTGTGTTTGTTTTCACGCACGCACGACGCATTTACTTTCACTTTGCGTTTGTTCAAATTTCCAAAGAAACATGCTAATTGGTGGTTCAAAAGACCAAAACCTATGTTTATTGATTGAATAGATAATGGTTTGAACCAATCTGGGCATGGGGGTGGGACTAAGCATCAACAATCATTCCTGTTTGGCTCAGAGGATCAAAATGCATAGGTTTCTTTTGACCAATCAGTGCAGATTAAAATGCGATGACTTTATCACGCTCACTACAGAGCCTCTGAACATCCAAATACCTCCGAAAAGCAGAGAATCTCCTCTTTACGACACTTTTTAAATCATTTAAATTGGATTAGCGGTTCAAAAGTTATTAAACATTAGCCGCGGACTCGTTCTTTGAGGGTTAAACAGCATTTCAGAAAACTTGTAACAAAGTTCTCCTAATGTACTGTGATTAATCAACTGCTGAAAGTGTGATCATTCCTATTAGCTTAAACTGTACCCTGACCTGAGGTGTTTTGCCTTAAATCACTGTAACGTGCTGAACACAGAACATTGGTGGTGTTATATGCAGACTGTCGGTCTCTCACCGTGAGCAGGTACTCGACGGCGCGGTCAGGGTTGTTGAAACTGGCTCTCAGTGCCGCCACCACTCTGTCTCTCTCGTATCCCATCAGCATGATCTCCGTCACCATGTTCTCGTAGGACTGACCCGTCACTGCACACACGAAACACATGCAAACTCACTGCATCCTGCAGAAATTACTACTGAATTCATAAACTGACATGGAGAATGTGTGAACTTGCTAATTTACCCAGCGCAGACGTCGCCTCTTCAAATATGTTTGCATTTGGCAAAGAACTGCAAACAGGAGGAAAATAAAAAACAATCAGCTTAATATGAAATGATGGTCACTTCCACTGACACAAACTGTTTTTGAAGAGACACCAGGCCTGTCCAAAAACAGCACTCACGTCTAATCAGCAATAATTGAGTATATAGATGTAGGGATGCACCAAATGTTCGGCAACCAAATAAATTGTAATGACAATGACGTGACGCGATCAAATCCGAGAAAGACACAAAAATCATTACAAGCAGTGACAGCGAGAGACTGTTTAGCGCTGCAGCGCATGTCTCTGATGAGAAGAGGAAGGGGTGATTGTTGCTGGCTACTGTATGATGATTGAAATCGCCAAACGACTTTAAACAATTAGTAAATAAACTGCAGAATGTTATGTTTTCTAATACACGCACTAATTGGATGTATTCTGACAGCGCTGCACGAGCTCGTTAGCCAGGGTTCAAAGTCCAAAGCGCGAGGAAAATCTGAAACTGAAACAGTGCGGGTTTCTGCCAAAACAAACGCTGAGAAAAAGCAAGAACTCCATCAACATTCATCATTGTTAGTCAGGGATCAACGCTAAGGGTTTTTTCTACTGGCCCTGCCACAAACAATTAAATAGTTGCTGTTATCATTGTTTTTGATCTGTTATCTTGTATTCTGATAAATAAGCTTATAGGACACCAATATTTATAAAATTTTACAATTCTCTATTTCAAGTTTGATACCACAGCAAAAATCACTAGCCAAAAATAAACATAAATATAAAGTTTAAACATTATTAAAGACAAGTGACAGCCAGTAAATAAGAACAAATGAACAAATTACAAGTAATAGCACAATTAAATATAGGCCTATAACACAAAGATACAAATGAAATGAAGCTTTAGGTTTTTATGTTTGTAGATGTTCAGGTAAAGAAATCATATAAAGTAACATTTGCATATTCTTCACTCTGTGTTGCACCTTGATTTTTCATAGCCATTTGAAATTAGAGGCAACCACTGCATTTTAATCATGAATTGAAAAATAAAAACATGTGCGATGTTTGATTTATATTAGACTGTATAATTTCAAAATCTGAAGCAAAAACAGAATAACCTGACTTTAGCTTTGTGGAATTATGCTACATAAAACATCTGTATGAAACAGAAACAGCAGGTGGGCTGAATGAGACGCAGATTCACTCTCTGACAGCAGGCGGCGCTTATGGTACAATAATACAGCGTTTCCTTGGTTACCGCTGTAAACACAGCAGCGCTCATGGAACAGTGATACAGCGTTTCCTTGGTTACCGCTGTAAACACAGCAGCGCTCATGGAACAGTGATACAGCGTTTCCTTGGTTACCGCTGTAAACACAGCAGCGCTCATGGAACAGTGATACAGCGTTTCCTTGGTTACCGCTGTAAACACAGCAGCGCTCATGGAACAGTGATACAGCGTTTCCTTGGTTACCGCGGTAAACAGCAGCGCTGCGCGCATTAAGACTAATTTAAATGCATCATACGGACACAAAATGAAAAGAAAATGCCATTTCTGAAAACAGTCAGTTCCGTTCCACTGGATTTTCTTCCTATATTTCGCGCATTGTGAACAGTGATCTTGTTCTGCCTGCTATATTCTCCTCTTTGTGTCCGTCTTCAGCATCTCTGGCTTCTGTTAACGGCCGTTTACAGACTAAGTATAATAATAACGTAATATTTCCACACAAATGGCCATTGGGAAAATGATTGCAGTGCAGTTTGTGCGCAAGCACGGAACAGAAGATAGTCTGAAATAAAACAAAAAATGTCCGGTGCATCTGTACTCCAGTGTATAAATTCAATATAGATTAATCATTGTTAAAGCTACAAAGTTACTTGCCGGGACGGGTATTTTGATACTTTTGTATGTATTTGCCCATTGGCTCACACATCGCGCGAGTACTGAAAGGAGTTGTCTTTCGCGCCCAAATGCTTTTTAATCGCTTGAATTTTTAAATGAATAAGTCTTAAAAACTAGTATTCTAATTTTACTTTTGTTCTGTAAAACAACAGTTTATTGTCTGTTGGACAATAAACTGGACTACATCCGACTACTACGCTCAACTCAGAGGACCGTAAGAGACTGTTGTGTTTTTGTGTTCACGGAAACATGGCTCAACAACAGCGTTCCGGACTGCGCTATTCATCTCGATCAGCTGACATGCTATCGAGCGGACAGAGCTCGCGTCGAGGGAGGTAAGACCCGCGGCGGCGGGCTTTGTGTTTACATCAATGACGTGTGGTGCCGCGATGCTGTTGTGGTCTGCAAACACTGCTCACCCCTGGTGGAGTT